GGATTAATTGTACAAATTAATCAATTACATTAAATTAGGGTTTTTTCCCCTTTTTCTCAAATATTGCACCCGAGGCCAAATTACATCAATGTTACATATTAATTTCATTTTAGGGACCACTCATACACTTGGAACCCCAAAACTAGAAAACCCCTATTTACACATTTCAAGCTTTGAAACCCTAACGCCCAAAATTTTCCAACCTTAACATTAAACCAAAATGACCACATGTTTATGTTAAAGATCATAAATATGAGTAGTTATCCCTACCTCAAGTGAAGAGACCCAAAGGAGATGATGAACAAACTAGAAGGTGCTCCAAACTCACAACTTTTCGGATCAAAATAGAGGTCTTGAAAAGCTCTATCGCTTTAATGAAGGCACAAGGGTTGGGTCTTACTAAACCAAGATCAAAATGTAGAGAGAGAGAGAGTTCTAGAGAGAGGAGCTCTCAAATTAGGGTTTTGGAAAGCTAGAGAGAGAGAGAAGGTCGAAAAGTGATTCAAAAATGGCTTCTCTCGAATTGATATACATCACAGTCCGCTCGAGTGTGGAACACCCCGCTCGAGTGTCGAATGCACACTTCTAGAAGTTCTGCAGACGAAGGTCCCCGCTCAAGCGTGAGAGTGGACGCTCGAGTGTCCGATGACCTGCAGAAAAATATATTGAGGGTTGAATAATCACGCTCGAGCGTCAAACTGCCCGCTCGAGCGTGAAAATCCCCGCTCGAGCGTAAAGGACAAAATCTGGGCATCAACTCTTGGTTTCTAGACACAACCAACATGTTTCAAACTTGCCCAACACAACCTAAAATTCAAATACAAAGAATCGAATGACGGAAATATAACATAGACAACAACAACACTAAACCACGGACCGAGTCCAGAATACAATAAACAATGAAGGGAAAATCGGGATGGCTATAGTTTGATAGGGGAAGCGATCTATATCAGTGTTCAAAATAATAAAACCGACATTATTGATTCGGTGTAATTTTTTACCTGAATACCAACCGTATCGAACCGATTACATCTCTAACTACAACCCTCGTAAAGATGCCCAAAATGCTATCACTTTGTAAGGGTTTTTTTTCTTCTTGGTTTGTAAAATGTAAAGCAATGACGCCTACATAATCAATTTTGCAATTGACTCCATAACATATGTTATATGTATATATATTTTTACGAAGAATTTTACAACGCTGTTTTAGATGTGTGTAATGTACATTTAGTTATTATCATTTTTAAAAAATTTCATCCAATACTCACAATGACATAAAAAGCTTACACATGTTAATTTTTAATTTATCATAAATTTAAGGGTCATGATTGAGACCCCCTCTAATCACCACCCCCATCACCCCCCACACACACGTGGCGGGGGGTAATTGGAGGAGCAGGAAAAAAAAAATGGAGAAAAAGAAAATGTAACCAATGAGAGAGAGAAGGGGGCAAAGGGGGTGGGAGGAAAAGGAGGGATGAATCATTGTTGCTTCTCAAAATAAGCCTTTATATCAGAGATCTTGATTCATAACTTGATGTTGATTGTTATGTAAGAGTGTTGCTAAAATGCCTCACTTTTCTTCATTGGACCTTTACCCTTTTTATTTTTCTTTTATTATAATTTTGTCGAAATATAAATTTTCTTTTATATCTGTTCCTTTATATTATATTAAAGTTTAATATTTTGATAATAATCACATGTGTTAAACTTTTCAAGATTTTTTTTTTATACTTGTTCTTAATGCATTAAAGTGTTATTATGAGGGATAATAATCATATGTGTTGAAACTTTTCAAGGAATTCATATGTTGGATTTCAAAGAATTTTTTTTATACTTATTCTTAATGCATTAAAGTGTTATTATGAGGGTAAGACTTGGGATTTGGGAGAAGTTAATAAATGCTAAGTTTTTTTTTTTTTTTAAATCAAGAAATCAAGAAATTTAGATTGGGATATTAGAGCTCCCACAAGGCTTGGGGTTAAAAACTCCCTTTTACTTAATATATAGTATAGATTTGATTTTAACACATTCTGTTGGTGTAGTTGTACGTCTTAATATTAATTGAGAATTTTATTAGTAAGTTTAATGATATGTATACATATATTTTTTTAATTTTCACACTTACAAAAATATATCTATTAGTATAACTTGCATATAATAAATTGCTATGAGTTAAATAAGAGTTAATTAACTAAAAATTCTATTTACAAATGTTATGGTAGTTCAGGTCATATTTAATATTTTTTGAATTAATAAGTCATATTTAGTAAAATTGATAATATTATCAATTTTTTATAAGTTTTTAAAATTAAGATCGTTATCAATTTTACATAATAATGTTTCAGATAATTGTTTCACTAACTAGTGAAAAAAAACAGAGCATGAGATTAAACGTTTTTGCCGTTCTACTTATTGGTTTGATTCAACTATCCAATAAAATCAATAACATTAACAGTTTTTTTTCCAGTTTTAAAACTGAGAACATTATCAATTTTTTTATTTTTTCATTTTTTTTGTTTTGCAGTTTTGCAGTTTTGCACATCAATGATCAATCACCATGCTCTTTCATAAACATAAAATTTTTAGTTTTGCACAAAAAAATAATTTAGTTTTTCTAATTTTTTCAAGAAAAATTAGTTTTTTTGTACGCATAGTGTTTTTTTTATAATTTTTTCAATTTAAAAGTTGATATTTTAAAATTTTTGAAAATCAAAATAAATGTCAAATCATCATATTTTTTTATAGATAATCATAAATGATAAACAATCATTTTTTGAAGTATAATTCTAACTATTAAAAATTTAATGGAACTTTTTACATTAATAGAGTATAAGTTCACAAACAAAAATGTTAGAGATCCCAATAATTTTACTGTCTGATATGGTATGAATCTCATACCTATGTGAGACATTTAGTAAAAATTTTGGTAAAACTTTTGAGATCTCTAGCATTACTCGTTCACAAATTAGAACTTGGGTGTAAGTGCATCATTAAATAAGGAAGATTCGGTCAAAACCCACTCATAATAAAAGTTAATGCATTAAGCATAACACACAAAAAAAAAAAAAATTTGAGTAATGCTAGAAACCTCAAATATTCTACTAAAAGTTTTACCAAATGTCTCACATGGGTGTGAGACCCACACAATGTGAGTCCCATGTGAGTCCCACACCCATGTGAGACATTTAGTAAAACTTTTGGTAGAATTTTTAGGGCCTCTAGCATTTTTGAAAAAAATTATTCAAAAGTCCAACACATACACCACTATTATCAAAATATTATAACTTTTGATTTAGATATTAGTTTTTAATAAAATTAGCATTTTTAAAATTCTTCTATCAAGATCTATCAAATACGATCTATCTTTATTATGAAATTCTTAAAAAAATAATAATAAATTTATTACAAATTGATGTAAATATTAACATATTATTCTGTTTGACAGTAGCATGTTACTTTGGTTTACAATAACATGTTACGCTGGCAATATTATCAAAGAAAAAATGTTTTACTTTGTTCTTACTAAATTGTGCGCCTTGTCTTTGAGGGGTTTACGAAACAAAATAAATTAAGCTATTTTTTTCACCACATAAGAGTCCAATGAAAGAATTTTAGCTAAATTTCCTATTAAAATAATTGAAATTTTATTATCATTTTTAAATACATACAATATGCCCCTCTCGTGGTCTAATTCCTGCGTCGCCACTATTGATGAGAAAATAGAATTATTCAATGTGTTTGGTTTTAATTTTTTTAATTCAGTTTTTGAAAATTAAATTTTTTATTTTTTATATTTTTTTTGTTTTTAGTGAATATTTTAAAATTTTTAAATATTTTTTTTAATTTTTTAAATGCACCCTTTCTTACTTTCCTCTCACTATTGGTAGTGTGTTTGGCTTGAATTTTTTATATTAAGTTTTTTAAAAATTGAATTTTTAGTATTTCGTATTTTTTTCATTTTTTATGAATTTTTTAAAATTTTAAATATTTTTTTCACTTTTTTAAATGCACCTTACTTAAATGTATCTAAATAGTAAAATATTTTTTAAAAAATACTTTTAAAAATTAATAAATATACAAAAATATGAAAAATGTATTGATTTTTCATATTTTTGTTGTATTTTTTGTATTTAGTGAATTTTTTAAAGATTTTTTTCACAAATATTATACTTTTTAAATATATTTATGTTAGTTGTATCTAAAAAATTTAAAAGTTGCTTAAAATATTAATAAAATTCAGTAAAAATAAAAAAATATGAAAAATAAAGAAATAAAATTTTTTGAAAAGTAAATTTTGAAAATTGAAACTAAAGAGATTGATTATCAATAGATGATTTAAATAAGATAGCAGTAAATTTAGACAGTAGTGGCAATTGGAAATGCGAAGAGATGAGTGATAGGAAGGAGAGTAGGAAGTATTGGAAGGTTATTGGGAGTTTAGAGTCCCTGTTGTGCGGTTTGCGGGAATTATTTTGAACTTTATTTTTATTATTTGAATCGTTCAATTTTTAAAAAATATTGAGTAAAATATACCTGTAAAAATTAAATTAATCGGATATCAATAGACCATTCATCAACTCGAATTTGTATATATAAAAAAATAAATATATAAATATTAAATTGAATACAAATGTAAGTTGATAAAAAGTTTATCAATATCCAATCAAAATAATTTTTTATAAATATATTCTGCTCGATAATCTTTAAAAATTAAACCGCTCGAATGATAAAAATAAAGCCCAAAATAATTTCTATAAACCACACAACAGTAGTGCAAGCCATATGGCAATGACTCCAACTCCAGATTGCAGATGGCACTGGTGGTGGTGGTGCCTTCACTAATGTCTCTGCCCATATGAGATTGACAGTTGGATTAAATTATAAAATTTTATAAAGTTATTTAATGTATAAGGGGTGACATTAGAATATCAGAAGCATTGAGGGGTGAAAATATAATTTACCTAAAAAATATCGAACCGTGTGATCTATCTGATGTTTGATTTGAGAATTCACGGCGAAATTCTTCGTCGTTCGTTCACTCTCTCTCTCTACCCAGCCGAAGAAGCTCTGAAAATTTCTCTCTAAAAACCTCCGAATTTATTACAAAAACCTAGCTGTATCTCCCTCTGCCTCTCTGTCTTGAATGTACACCCTTTTTAACTGGCTGAACTGAAACCTCTGATCTAATCCCTATTTTATCATTTGTTTTTTGAGGTGAAATTTCTCTGTTTCTCTTCGATAATCTGATTGATTTATATGGGGGAATTTCTCTAGGGGAATTATCCGATCGATTTCTCTGGGGGAATTTCTCCGATCAATTTCTTGAAGTGGGTCTCAATCAAAACCGATTCTTGGTTCCTGCCGTGGGGGGTTTTAAGTCCGTTCTTCTATTGAGGGTTAGATTGAGATTTATCATAGTCCGTTTGTATATCCTTTTTTTTTTGTTTTGATTTTTGAATTGTTGTTAGGTCTTTTGGTTGAAACTTGGGGAATCAATCAATCAAAGACATTGGTTTGAAGAAACAAACCCTTTGAGCTTTTCTTGAGGTTTCTTGGCACTGGGGTTCTTGGGGTTTGTTAAAGGGTTCTTGTGAGAAATCTGAATTATCACCCCAATGGCTAACCCTCCACCACAACCTTCCCTTGGATTCTCAGTTTCAATCACCCCCTCGAACAACCAAGATGCAACAAAATCGAACCCACCACCACTAACTCCTCCTCTTTACCCATCTCCCACAGGCTCAAGATTTCATCCACAAACCCTACAATCATCGGATCAGATTCCTTCCCCATCAATTAAGACCCCAAGTTTGCCATCGCCGCCGGTGAATGGGATTAGAATTGGCAGCCCTGCTCCTCATTTGAGCACCCCTCCCGGCCCTCCCGTGTTTTCGTCGCCGCTCCAACCGGCTGCTGTCCCATTTCGAACTTCTCCGGCCACTCCGCAGCCCCTTGCTTTTTCTTCAGGTTCCTCTGTGCCCACTTCCTCCCCTCCCCATTTTTCAAATGGGCCGGTCGAGTTGCAACACCAACTTTCTGATGCTTCAGAGCAGTCTATGCCTGTTACCGAATCACCATACGTTTTATTCTCAGCTCATAAGGTAAAAGACACCATCTTTCTAGCTCCTTTTTGGTTTTATTTTCAAAATTAATTGTTTTCTGTTCTGAAAAGTGAAAATACATATCATGATTAGAATGTTCTTAGCACGGTTTTTGTTTTTCAGGGTGTTCTCATTCTCAATGCAACATAGTTCTTGTTATTTACATGAAAGGGCGATAAGCTTTGTCTTTGTGGTTTTAGTTTCTTGCTGTTTCCATGGAAATTTCATATTACATTACTTGTTAGTACTGTTTTCAATTTTTTTTTGTGAGTCTAAATTCACTTACATTTGTTGTTTCTTCTACAAAAACTAATGTGTAGTCAACAAATTATGAATGCCATGGTTTATTTTTCTTTTCCCGTGTTTTTAAAAAAAAACTTGAACTTCTTTGCTGATTTTATTATCAAGGTATTGAAACTGAAGAAGCTGGCAAATATACCCAGTTTGGGGTTTGGGGCACTGGTTTCCCCCGGGAGTGAGATCTCACCAGGTCCTCAAATAATCCAACGTGATCCCCATCGCTGCCAAAATTGTGGAGCTTATGCGAACCTCTATTGTAATATCTTACCTGGCTCGGGCCAGTGGCAGTGTGTAATTTGTTGGAATCTGAATGGAAGTGAAGGCGAATACATAGCTTCCAGCAAGGAAGAGCTTCGTAATCTACCAGAGCTGTCATCTCCTTTGATCGATTATGTCCAAACTGGGAACAAGAGACCTGGATTTATTCCAGTCTCTGAGTCTAGAATGTCAGCACCTATAATTCTGGTAATAGATGAGTGTTTAGATGAACCACACCTCCAGCATTTACAGAGTTCCTTGCATGCTTTTGTAGATTCACTCCCCACAACAACAAGAATTGGGATTGTTTTGTATGGTCGCACAGTATCAGTATATGACTTCTCAGAGGAATCAATTGCATCTGCTGATGTGCTACCTGGTAACAAAACACCGACACAGGAGTCCTTAAAGGCATTGATTTATGGGACAGGAATATACTTGTCACCAATTCATGCTTCACTACCCGTGGCACACAGTATATTTTCATCATTGAGTCCATACAAACTGAATATTGCAGAGGCTTCAAGAGACCGTTGCCTGGGTACAGCAGTGGAGGTTGCTCTGGCAATAATTCAAGGGCCATCAGCAGAAATGTCTCGAGGGGTGGTTAAAAGAACTGGAGGTAATAGCAGAATTATTGTGTGTGCTGGAGGGCCAAATACATATGGCCCGGGATCAGTCCCTCATTCTTTTAGTCATCCAAACTATCCCTATATGGAGAAAACAGCATTGAAGTGGATGGAGAATCTAGGCCGTGAGGCTTATCGGCACAATACAGTGGTTGATATTCTTTGTGCTGGAACATGCCCTGTAAGAGTTCCTGTTTTGCAACCTCTAGCAAAAGCTTCTGGGGGAATTTTGATTCTCCATGATGACTTCGGAGAGGCCTTTGGTGTGAACTTGCAGAGGGCATCTACTAGGGCAGCAGGTTCACATGGTTTGCTGGAAATGCGTTGCTCTGATAATATTCTAATAACTCAAGTTATAGGTCCTGGTGAGGAGGCACATACAGACAGTCATGAAACATTTAAGAATGACGCCTCTCTCTCTATACAAATGTTAAGTGTTGAAGAAACACGGTGCTTTTCAATTTCCATGGAAACCAGAGGAGATATAAAGGGTGACTATGTATTTTTCCAGTTTGTGATTCAATATACAAATGTCTATCAAGCTGATATCTCAAGAGTTATTACTGTCAGATTGCCCACTGTGGATAGTGTTTCAGCATATCTTCAGAGTGTTCAAGATGAAGTGGCTGCTGTTCTCATTGCTAAGAGGACTCTCTTGCAAGCCAAAACCTCGTCCGATGCGATTGATATGCGAGCAACAATAGATGAGAGAGTAAAAGATATTGCTTCCAAATTTGGGTCTCAAATGCCAAAGTCAAAGCTTTATCGTTTCCCTAAGGAACTACCCTTATTGCCAGAGCCCTTGTTTCATCTTAGAAGGGGCCCATTGTTGGGAGGCATTGTGGGTCATGAAGATGAAAGGTCTGTGTTGCGGAATTTGTTTTTGAATGCATCATTTGATCTGTCTCTTCGGATGTTGGCGCCTCGTTGTCTAATGCATCGTGAAGGTGGTACTTTTGAGGAACTACCAGCTCACGACCTTGCTCTGCAGTCTGATGCGGCAGTTGTTCTTGACCATGGCACAGATGTCTTCATTTGGTTGGTATGCCACTCAACTTACCTTCTTTGCTGTTTTAGCATGCCATGTTTTGTTGTGTTATGTTGGTGCAGTTTTTTTCAATTTCCTTATGTTTCATCATTTTTCCTGTCATCTTGCTCGTAAACTGTGCATTTTTGAACTCTGTGTGTGTGTGTGTGAGATAACCCTGTCTGCTTTTCAGTTTTTGCTTCTCACTTCCTCACTTGGTGATAGAATACAAGTATGACTATCAGCTCGTCTTCTGACTTATGTTTGCCTTTACACTGTTGGCACTTGACTGTATGTCAGTGGTGATGATGAGTTAGAGACAGCTGCATAGTGAAGAAGCTGCCTTTGGCACACCACCTACAATCACTGCCACATTTTTAATCATTTTATGAGCCATGTGTATTACTTTTGAGTAGAATATCCATAGACAAATATGATTTCTCTTGAATATGTCAAAATAAAGTCAAGTATTGTTGTAATGTTCCTTTGTATTTGTATTTGTTTTTGTTGTTGCTCTCTCTCACTATAGGCGGCTTAGTATAAGTATCATATCCATCTTAACATGTTGTGCATGCCACCCCAACCAGATTGTGGAACCTAGTTGCCTGCACAAACAGAACTTTCAACTTTGTCTAAGGCTTCCAATGACCAAGAATTATCTACTATTCATAAACGAATTATGTGGCCTAAAACTTCTGTGGTTATATTTGATTGAAGAATGTATCTATATGTTGGTATCATTATCATCAAATTGTGAATTGAATCGTTTTGCCAAAATAGTGAATTTATTTGAGATATAAGAATGCATTTGTATGTCATCAAAATGGGAATTGAATTGTTAATCATTTCACTAAAATAGAGAATCGTGAATCATAAGATTCAATTTGTTTAATATAACATAATATATCATTTTATATATTTATATACATATGAAATATTTAAAATATACATAGTGTTTAAAATGAAAGAAATATTAATATAACTAAATTATTTATAAGTATATACATATAAAAACTATGTATATTAGTATAACTAATTAATTTCCTTTTTATTTCTTGATGGAGACGAAAATCGCAAATTGAATTGCACAATTATGCAATTTTCAATTCAACAACGCGATTCAAATTGTTTTGGTTAAAAATCGTATTGAATTGTATGTATCAAATCGTGAATTATAGATTCTAACAACCATGGTTGATATATATATATATATATGTTAATCTACTCAATTGAATTTAGTATTCATATATAAGAATCCGAGTGGCTCATTCTTTGAAAGTTGAACATTTTGAAGTTATTAGTTTAATAGTAATTAAGGATATGTATATTTAATCTGCATGGGTAGCCAATGGTAAGGAGCCAAGCCGTGAACTCAGGTGTCTCGGATATGACTCTTGTTGATGTCTCCAAGGCTCATCAATTCATGTGGTGTGCGGGTGATTGGAGGTATCCAGGGTTTAATATGCATGATTGGGTCTTCCTCACATAATAATAATAAAATTTTTAAAAAAAAAAAAGATTAGATATATTTGAACTTGTATTCATATTCATAAATCCCAATTCTAGTAACTTCTTGTGGGTTGTTCCTAAATATTTTTTCCTTCTATTAAGCAAACAAGAAGATATGGAACTTAAATTGTATGGGGATAGAAAAAAAATCAGTAGATCAAGTCAAGGTTTTGATCGTGTGCATATGCAAGCTTTAAGATAATATATCTATTTGATGCTTCTTTTTTATTTTATTTTTATTTTTATGGGGTGGGGGTTTTTTTGTTTTTGTATTTTATATTTTGTGTCTTTCCCTTTTTCCTCCCATCTTTGTTACTTCAATATAACCTTTCATATTTATTGGTGGCACACAGGGTGCTGAACTTGCTGCTCAGGAAGGAAAAAGTGCTGCAGCTTTAGCAGCTTGCAGAACATTGGCTGAAGAGCTTACTGAATTGCGGTTCCCGGCTCCTCGGATCCTGGCATTCAAAGTATGCTTCTTTCTGACTTCTGTAATTATTATTATTATTCCTTGCTTTGTTTTTTTTTGTATGTCCCTTGAGAATTAAAATGAAAATCTGAAGGAGACTGGTTTTGTGACAGGAGGGGAGCTCTCAGGCTCGATATTTTGTTTCCCGGTTGATACCAGCACACAAGGATCCCCCATATGAGCAGGTGAGTTGGGTGGCAATCCCTCTTATGCCACAATTAATTTCCTTGTAGGTCATGGCAGTTTTAGAAGTGAATTGAGCGGTGGTGCAAGACTGTTTTAACCTGATTTCAGGAAGTATATTGTTATTGTGGGATAAGATTAGATGCATATATTCCTACAAATGTAGTGTAATTAGTAACGCATATATATTGTTTTCATACATGGTTTCGCAGGAGGCAAGATTCCCACAACTTCGAACTTTGACTACAGAACAAAGGACGAAGCTGAAAAGCAGTTTTCTTCACTTCGACGATCCTAGCTTCTGCGAGTGGATGCGCAGCTTGAAAGTGCTGCCACCTGAGCCAAGCTAATGAACCCATCTTTGGATCTTTTGTGGCCAGTGCATTTCTATATTCTAGAATCCGAGTTGCTTCTAAACATGCCTGTGATGTCCATTTTCTCCAGCCTTTTCTTTTTTTTTTTCCTAGTTAGATGATCTATATAACTCATCGAGCATGTTTTGATAGGGAAATGGATAACATTGCCATTTTCTTGTTCTCTGTTTTTTTTTTTTTTTTTGGTTCCTTTTTCATGTTCTTTATAGTCCTCTTATCATTTCACAAACATTTTTTTTGGGGTCACATTTTGTTTCTAATATGAAATTGTTATTGCAGAGCAACAAAGATGTCCGCTGTACTGATGCAATTATCTTATTGAATTTGAATCAACCATATATGAAAATGATTAGTAATAAATTGTTAATAATTATTTTTAAAATTATTAGTTGCAATTAATTTGTAGTGAAAATTTTAGCCATGATTATTTGCTTAAAAATTTTAGCTCTTAATTAGAATATTCAACCTGACAAACAAGCTCTTAATTAGAGCAAAAATATCTATTATTTGATTTTCATTTAAAATAATATAATGTTAAAGTTTTATAGGTGACAGTATAGATTCTTGGAAAATTTATTAGAAAATTTTTTTTTGAAGTGTTTGTGTCCCAATTAATTCATAATATATTTTTATATTCTAATAAGTCTTATTATTTGGACATTTGAGGGTGTCTTTATTTACACATCACATTTAAGCCAAGTTTGGCTACAAAGAAAAAAGTGCACTTATTTCATCTTTTTATCTTTTTTGGGTTACATTAATCAACATCTCCTCTCTACTTTTTCTTCACATAATACAAAAAAAGTCAAAAAGTGCACTTATTTAGTCTTCCCAAATTAGTCTCAAGGCACATCATTAATTGGTTATTTTTTATTACAATAATGACCTTACATAAAATGATCAAAATAACCATAAGACAATATCAATACACCCCCCACACATCACCACTCTCCGCCGCCAGATTCTATCTCCAGCTACCGTCATCGAAACCCAGCCACCATTGCAACCCCCACAACCTCTCTACCTCGCCGGTGACCCTTTTCCCCTATGCAAACCCTTCTCCATCCCCCATCAACGAACAACCTAGTCTCCCACTTTGACCATGGCTCATTTTTTTCCATCACAAAGAGAGAGAGAGAGAGAGAGAGAGAGAGAATCTTAGGGTTTTCAGATCTAGATCTAAGACTTGCAGGAGTTCAATTGTGCAAACTAGATTCAAAGCTTCGACCTAGGATTTCAAGCTCTGATTCAAAGCTTTATCGCTGCAGTTGTCTTCGGCAAAAAGCTCCTTTCCAGTGGGTTAGGGAAGATCTTTGTAGAGGGAGGGTTGCGGTGGTGAAGGCAAGTTTGATAGTTTTTAGAGAGAGAAGAAGTAGGATATGAGATGGAATGGGATGAGAGGTTATGGCGGCGATGGTGGGAAAGTGGTTGAGCCGGTGGTGAAGGGAAGAAGGGGGTGGAAAAGGGTTTGAGAGTATGGTTGGAAGTGGTAACGCAGGGAGAGTGATAAATGGAGAAGTGAGGAAGAGATTCATTGGAGAAAAAGGACAGAGAGGCGACGGCCTGTGGCGAGTGGCGGCGGCGGCTAAGGTTAGGGTTGGTGGGATGGTTGAAGAAGATGAGGATATTTTAAGTATCTGATTCAAAGCTTTGCCGCTGCAGTTGTCTTCGGCAAAAAGCTCCTTTCCGATGGGTTAGGGAAGATCTTTGTAAAGGGAGGGTTGCGGTGGTGAAGGCAAGTTTGATAGTTTTTAGAGAGAGAAGAAGTAGGATATGAGATGGAATGGGATGAGAGGTTATGGCGGCGATGGTGGGAAAGTGGTTGAGCCGGTGGTGAAGGGAAGAAGGGGGTGGAAAAGGGTTTGAGAGTATGGTTGGAAGTGGTAACGCAGGGAGAGTGATAAATGGAGAAGTGAGGAAGAGATTCATTGGAGAAAAAGGACAGAGAGGCGACGGCCTGTGGCAAGTGGCGGCGGCGGCTAGGGTTAGGGTTGGTGGGGTGGTTGAAGAAGATGAGGATATTTTAGGTATATTTGAAAATGGATGGTGTGTATTGAGCAAAAATAATAAAGTTAAATTGTGTTTGGTATGCATTAAGTAAGTGATGTGCCTTAAGACCAAATGTGATGTGTAAATAGAGACACCCGACATTTGATCTATCAAATCTTAATTCTCATATTTAAAGTATTTTGTGAACATTTGTACCCTTACAAATATTTTTTGAACGATTAACAATTTGGTAGTGTGAACATTTATATTTTACAATGTGAATATTCACATTGACGTGTGAATGTTCACATCACGGAATATTTACATTGTAAATGTGAATATTATTAGGGATATTTTGATAACTATGTCACCCATAAAACTTATTGGAACATAAGAAAATAATATAGACTAAATGAAACATATGCAGTTGAAAAGGAATTTATGAAAATGTGTCCATAGATTTTTCTTTCTATTGACATAAGGATTTTGAATTTTTTATTTTTATTTTTAATTTTATCATCATTATATCACACTTTTTTATGATTTTGTCATTATTAGATCATCTTACATTCAAACTCAAATCAAATTTAAATTTGATGAAAATTTAGTGAGAATGATATTTTAATCGTTTCACCAAATTAGTATTAAATGGAGGAAGTTTTATTTTTTTTATCAAATCGAAAGAGCGTTTAATCTTTCATCAAATCTCACAGGTGACCGTTAGTAGACAATCGGATGAATGACCAACCAATCAACCCAGTGGACGATTGGATTGGGAAAATTTGAAAAAAAAAATTACACTTGGCCAAACGACTGACCAGACATCCTCTCAGTCAACCGGTTATTTGATGAAAATAAAAAATTTAGCTTTTAAATACTTTGTATCAGATGAAACTTTTAACTAAAACATTTACTCAAATTTGATGGAAAAAAGAGTATGCATTGAGGATGCTGTTAGTAGAAAAATTAAGGGACAATTGGTCTAAGGTCCCTCCCCAACTTTTAATAGGAGGAAAGGTACACAATAATATGTTATGATGGCTAAGGTCCCTCAACTTTATTTTATGTTATAAAATACCTAATTTACCCTCGTTATAACATAAGATCGTTTGGATTTTGGCAAACTACTGACTTCACGGTGAGATTTTGGAAACTGATTTCACAATAGAGATTTTGTAGGGATTTCGCAAGTGTTGCAGTGGACTTCACGACAGAGATTATGACAATTGTGTAGGGGTTATAGTGTGTTGATCGCGTAGGTTTTTAAATGGAGTTGAATCAGGTATGGTTTCGATAGAGATTCCACATGAATTTTTCATTTTTGTTTTGAATTTTATGTAAGGTTTCCGATTTCATATTAGTTTTTCGAGTGTTTTTTTGCATTAGATTTTTGTTTTCAGTTTTGATCAATTTAAAAGAGAGTCTAGCTCAGTGAAATTGTTTATGATTTTTGGAGTTGATTTTTCATTTGCTGTTATTGATCAATTTTAGACAGAGGCCAACTTGATAGAGTTGTTTTTTATTTTTGGAATTAATTTTTCATTTTCTGTTTTTTGATAAATTTCAAAGAGTGTTGACAGGTGGTTGATTTTGATGTTTAGAGTTCATTTTTCATGCTCTGTTTTTCACCAACATGCTGATCAAAGTTCATTTTTCGTGCTCTGTTTTTCATCAACATGTTGATCAATAAAAAGTTTTGTTCTATATTTTTTCAAACCAGAGAAATTTCATTCTCTGCACTTTTGTTGGTATAGTCCAAAGAAAATTGTAAGTTTGTTATTATAATCGAACAAAAATGACAGAGAAAATTATAAGTTCATATGGACATATTATTAGTTTCTAGTGCAGATAGAATCTGAGAAAGTGGATGTAAGTTCTTAAATTTTTCTGGACTTTTATTTGTATTTGAGATAAAATTATAAGTTTATTATTCACTTTCAGTTTGTAGTTCAGAGAAAATTATAAGTTTGTATAAAATGAATATAAGTTTTTGTTTCTCTGAGCAAAAGTTATTTTTTGTGTTTTTTCTTTCAGTTTAGATGGGCAGTGCACTGTTTTTAGGGAATCTTGAAGGTGTATACGAGTTTGTAAATTTCTCTGGATTTTGATATGAGTGTAATATTGCAAAATGACGCAAAGAAAATTGTAAGCTTGTACTTCAGTGAAAATCACAGAGAAGCTTATAATTTTATAACAGATTTTCTCTGTGTTTTTGTCTATGATTGTGTTTAATAGTTAGCAGTAAATTTCTCTGTGATTCTATCTGGATTCATTAATTTTTCTGTGATTTTGTTTTTGTTATCTTGAAGGTGAATATAAGTTTGTAAATGTCTCTAGACTTTTATTTGAATCTAGAGAAAATTATAAGCTTGTTATTATAATCCAGAGAAAATTATAATTATTAGAAATTTCTCTGGACTTTTATGTTGTTCTTGTGAAGTGTTTTTATGTTGAGCAAATTATTTTTCTTGTTTTTTTCTTTCAGTTTTGATGGACAGTACAGTATTGTTGCTGTACAAATATGGGAATGATACTATTGTCATTAATGTTTCATGTGAATTGAATTTTGAGGAATTGGTTGGCATTTTGTGTAAAACATGGGAGAATTTACAACCTGAGACGATGTGTATTTCATATTCTATTGTGGGCCATCCGAATTGTATGGTTCGAAATGATATTGATTTTCTGAATATATTGAGGGTTGTTTGTGCACGTGGTGTTGATATAGTTGATGTTTCAGTTACTAAATGTAGTACTTCTGATCAAGAGGATAAAGTGGGGTCTAATTGGGTAGATGTTGTGAATGGTGAATGTGATAGGCTGATAGATATTGAAAGGAATTCGCTCTCTAAGTTTTGTTCTCACCAAGAAAATGTGTTATTGTCAGCTGGTTGGCGAAATAATATTACGAGTGTTGGACAAAAGTTTGAGGGTAGTGTGGTTGAGTTCTGTACTGTTTTATGCAAGTATGCTATTGAGGTTGGCTTTTAGTTTACGTATGTTAAAAATGACAAGCTAAGGGTTATGGCAGAATGTGCATATAAGGAATCAAGGGGATATATGTGGCGTGTACATGCTTCAGTTGAAAAAACAAATGGGTTCTTTTACATAAGAACTTTGAAC